AAGAGATCGCTGCCTTGAAAATTTGAGTCGAAGATTTCTGCAGTTGAAGAAGTTCATAATCTTGATGAGATGGCGTTTGATGAATTTGTTGGGATCATGAAGGCTTTTGAATTAAACAAGGCATATGAAGCAAAAGAAAAGAAGAAAGTTACTAATGTTGAAACTGTTCAGAATAGTGCATATGCTGAAGGTTCGATGGCCTTGCTGTCAAGACAATTTGCTAAGTACTTGAAGCAGACAAAGAAAGAGAATGGAAGAAATGCAGAGGTTGACAGTTCATCAAAGAACATTCAGTGCTTCGAGTGCAAAGGCTTTGGGCATGTCCGTTCTGAATGTGCAAATCTGCTGAAGAAGAAGGCGCTGGCTTGCATCAAGAGTGATTCTGATAGTGATTCAGATGATGAATTGGCCTTAAATAATTTTGTGACATTGACAACGTTTGTCTCCAGTGTTGTACCAGAATCTGCAACAGAACCTTCAACAGAAACTGAAGCAAAGTCTGCATCGCAAGTGGCAAAGATGGAAGTGCTAGTGATATTGAGAGTATTAGTGATGAAGAATTTGCTAGGAACTACGAGATGTTGTATGAACACTGGCTCAAATTGGTTGAAGAAAATTCATTATTGACTAAGGAGAAGATCAAGTTAGAAGCTCAAGTTGCTGCAGCACAGAAGTATGCAGTTCAGAAAGAAGATGAAGCGACTCAAGCTAGAGTTCAGCTGGAAGAGACACAAAAGCAATTGAGGATGCTTAATAATGGTACAAATCAATTGAATCATATTTTGAATATTGGTAAAAGTCCTATGGAGAGACATGGTCTTGGATTTAATGGAGAATCCTCAAAAACAGAAACTGTTTTTTCGTCTGAGGGAAGAAGAGAGACTGCAGCTACATCTGCTTCAGAGCCGAAGCCCATAATTGCTTCAGAGCCGAAGCCCAAAATTGCTTCAGAAGCAAAGCCCATAATTGCTACAGAGCCGAAGTCCAGAGTTACTACAGGGACTGCTACTGCTACGAAGACTGCAACTACTTCAAAGAAAACTGCAGAATTTCATAGTGCACCTAGAAGAGTTTTTCGACCTGTTTGTCATCATTGTGGAGTTGCTGGGCATATTAGGCCAAGATGTTTCAAGTTATTGAGGGAGAATCATCGAAGGGAGCAAGCTTATGATGGGAGATTTCGTGGTCCAACATGTTATTGTTGTGGAGTTGAAGGACATGTTCAACGTCATTGTTTTGGATTCAATCGAAGGTTCAGTTATGAAGGTCAAAGGTTCAAGAACGTTTGGGTTAGGAAAGATGATCTCTATCAAGATGGTGTGATGGGCTATCAACCTTGTCGATTTGATCAAGGAAGAATTTCGAATTAGTTTTTGACCATGATGTGACTCAAGTAGGGGGAGATTGGTGGTATTAGGCGTGCTGGTGTTATTGGTGAAGATATCGTTGAAGTTAGAAGTGTTGAGATCACATACATATTCAAAAAGGGGGAGATTGAGAGGAGTTACTTGGAGTTTTCTTGTACCAGTTGATTGTACTACATAGTATTATAAGAAGTGATACAGAAGCTGAGTTGTGTGATTTGTGAAGAGGAGTTCGTGTATTGATATTCACAAGCGTGGATTAAGTTTAGAAAAAAGAAAGAAATATTTACTTGGAGGAAAGGAGAAAGATATTCCAAGAATATATTTTAGAGCAAAAGAACTACAAAGAAGAAAAGTTCTTAGGGTTAATCATCGCTCTATAGGTATATATAGAGGGAGGCTCGTGGCTGGAGTTTTCTTACGCCTCTGATAAGAAAAATACAGAGAGATTGATTGAGAGAAGGCGTCGTCT